TTTGGAGATGATTTATATAAAATGTGCTATAAACAACGAATTGTAGAAATACTTATCGAGTGTGCGTCGTTCGAACACCCCATTGCTTAAGCTTGCTTTTGTTGCGGATCGGTACAATGGAAGACAGACGCGTACCAAGCGTCAGGTGACATTTCACCGTATTCCATTCGGTCATGTGACTACTACTCACACGCCTGGAATCTTTGACTTGTTTTAAAATAATTTATTAATTCTTAAGTTAACTAAAAATTCTACTAATATGAGGTAGATAATAAGGAATTTTTACCTCACATTAGTAGATTTTTGGTTAATTTAATTATACGAAAGGCTAAAAGCAATTTTTATATTTTAACTTATTCTTGTCGAGTAAGAAATCCCTTATCTGTAGATACATCACGTGATTTATCTTCCTCTCCGAAGTGCCCCCGGACTACAAATCGATAAGCTTTGCATTAATTACGTTTCGATAATACCGTAACATTCTACAAAAAAAAAACAATTTTTAAAAACTAAAATAATAAATAACCAAATTTCTTTAAAGTTCAGATTAAATTCCTATAATCCTAAATTAAATATACAAAAATTTCTTATCTAAATTTACAAAAAAATATGATTTTATTTCAAAATTTAAACTAAAGTTATATGACATTATTTTAGGTGACTAATTGCATTTAAAGACTTTTGTTTGCTTTATCTAAAACAATAGATAAAGCGTGCGTTAGTGCAGTAATCAAACAGTACTTTTCTCAAATTAAATAATTATTAATTTAAAGGATTTACAATTTTCCATACAACTAGTGATGGGAAGAGTTTTGTAAATTTCGATGTGTCGATATATTGATAACCCATAAAGCCGATAATGGTATTATCAAATATCATTACAAAATATCGGACTATGCTGGGAATTTTTACTATTAGGGTTGAAATTTCGCTTTACAGATTCAAAAATCATAACAGGGAACAGGGATTTTGTAAAGGTACTTAAGTTAAATCCTCGTGCGAAAAAACCTACTTAACATTTCCTCACTCTTAACAGCGTGGGAATCCACTCCATCAATACTGTAATTCACTGGACCCCAAAACTTGCAGCTTAGATTTGAAAGACGTACAAAGAAAACAAGATAATAATGAAGTTAGTAATTACCAAATACCATTACACATGCAAATGCATTATGTAATTTGTTTGTTTATTTATTATTTTTATGATCTTACTCGATACGTTCTAAACGCCGCATTACTTAACTTACTAACTTAATACGTTGTAATAAACCATTTTTCGGAGAGGAAAAATAAAAACATTAGCTTTGAAAGGATTGAGCTGGCGAGCCTGTTTCTTCTCGACGTCATAGTGAGACCCACTTTCGAAAACAATCTTTACGACGGAACGGAGCTTCCTGAGATACAGTAAAACTGGTCTGCTAGCTTTTTCGTGTCTGAAAATACGGCAGACAAATGTTCCCATTCGTTTAAGAGGTAGCATTTACGGTCTATCAAATTTTGATTTAAGTAATGTTTTAACTCTGTAATCAAGCTACCTGAGTCCCTCTGTGCTTCGGTGTCTGTCTGCTTTGCAGCTAGACAGATGTGGAAGCTCCAGGTATCGTCACTGTTAGCAGTATGTACAGTACTACCCTATATAACTGATGCTCATTCCCTTCATTACTTGTTCTCGCAATATCTTTTAAGGCCTCATTGATGTGAGATATTGCCTGTAAAAATGCTATTGGCGAATCAAAATGCACCCTTTTAAATCGCGGATCAAGTATATTAGAAATAGCTAGCAAGTGGTTGCTTTCGGCAGTTTTAAAATACTGTGCCAGGAAATTCATCGTGGCAACCTGAAATTTTTTTCTACTGTTTCCGAAGGAGTTGTATCAGCTGTAGCTTTAGTCATGCAACTTATACAGAACTGATTAATATGCTTTTCACCAGGGGCGTGCCGTGATATTTGATGATAGGGAAGCTGTGTTTCTATAAGAAGCCGACATCCAGGGGCAATCAGTTAATTCTTTCTTTAAATGTATTTTTAATAGATTATTTATCTGACGTACTTAATAAACAAGTTTATTATAATTACCTCTGTTATTAGATCTAATATATTCCATATGCCCTCTAAATGCCAATTCTTGCTTTGATAAAAACATATAACATCTATTTATTTA